GAATGAGGATTTGTGAATTGAGAATGATGATGACAGAAGAGGGAAAGATGCACTGATTGGAGGTGATGGTATGAATATACTAACGGATGGTAGGCGTTTCGGTTTGAACGCAGGGATGGCAAGGTAGTCAATGTTGTGTTTTGCAGAGGATTGATAGATGAGGAGTGTGTGGAAGGGAGCATATTGACTTGCTTGAGATGTTATATTGGATGGGATATGGGGGCGTGCGTTGCGCCGGAGATTACACTTGGACAGAAGATCTTTGCAGAGACCAGCAATTGGGTCGAGGAAAATCGCCTTCCGAGAGAGTCTTCCGCAATGGGAAGAATGGCAATGAGGCTTTTTGGTACGGTAGGGCCTCGGGAGACGATGAACAGAAAGGTGGAAGTGTATGTGAAACGTGGATTTACGAAGATGGTAGCGGAGGAAGGATTATTCTCGCAGTTGATTAAGATGAAGGTATGGGAGGATAGCAATGATGGAGATGGAAGCAAGTTGTGTTGCGGGAAAGTGATAAGAAGGTTTATGTGATATAGTAATGTGGGCCATAGTGTTAAGAAGATGCAGGGCATAGGTACGTACGGAATGTTAGGGATATTTTTGTATGTCAGAGGAATGGGAAGTTGTGAGAATCTACAGAACAGAGGACAGTGTGTACATATCGTCTTCCCTACCAGACAACTGGTGCTTCAAACTAATCGCATCCGCGCCACTACACTCTGACTTATGAAGGCAAAATTAGAACCGATGATGAATACAAATAGTTTTTATCGGCAAGACTGTCGCCTTTTATTCGGCGATTTTGAATTTAGCAGGTAATATAACATCGTAGTGGCTTCTGTTACAGTAGACTTTCATATTGATCAGAACTGAAGTAGCAATAATAGTTTGGATCTAATCTTTTTGAAGGTAGACTACAAAACGGAGAAAATAATTTACTTGTCCTCTATAATAACTGATTTTTTAGATTTCTGTTAGTATTAATGTATTCTAATAATGAGAATGCCGCCGCGGTGAAGGAAAGGCGAATCTATTAAAATGCTCGAGTGGTGTTTTAACTAACTCATTTAGTGTTCACTAAATCATCCCTGCACTGCATCTTCTGTATCCACAGGACGTATTGGCAGTATTATTTAGTGGGTTATATTAAAAATATTTTTCACGACAAAAAAGGAACTCGATAGTATTTTCGACTAGGCATTTTTATTATTACCTTAACAATGAGTGGCCTGAATGCTGAAGTGTAAGAATGTTGCTTCCGTATCTTTTCCCAAAGCAGCCCAACTAATGGGGAATACGACAGTTGAACTAACCCTTTTTTAAATCTAATTATTCACTCTGTACTGTTGAGCAAACATGTTTGAAGCTTTGACTAGATAAAGGGTTAGTACTCTAGAAGAAATACTTAAGAATGGATAGAGAGCCTTCTCAATTGATCCTTGGTAGATAAGGACGATTCCGCATCACCAAGGAAAACGCTAGGTTCTTCGGCATGGAACAGCTTTTCCAACGTACGCTTATTCGCAGATCTTTCCATTATATTTGGGAGAATTTCTCGAAGGTGCTGCATACACGCCGCGCACTTCCTCAGATTGCAACTTTCTCAACAAACAAGTCACAACCGGTAGGTCTTGTTGCCCATTCTTATCAAACGGAAGATACTAAAGTCTATAGACTGTCTCAGGCATCAAAAGTCCACATTTTCCCGGAGATAAGACCTTGGACGGCTACAAACCTAGCTTCCACGGGCATAAGTTGGGAAAGGAGGCAATAGCTTGCATGCAACTCGATACGGCTCAAAATATGTGCTATTATCCGGGAAAGCTCCATGGCGGTGTCCAGTCGTTCTTGTTGGATCAGATTCTAGCTGATTGCTGCCAGCCGGCAGTAACGGCTAATCTTAATATATCTTTCCTCAAGTCGATAGACCCAGGAAAGCCGATAATGCTTTTCGCACGACCTGTGAGAGTTGAGGGGCGGAAGATCTACATGGAGGCCAGCATCAAAGTTCGTGATGAGAAAACCGGGACTATGATTGACATGACGCGGGCGAATGCACTATTTATTCATCCAGCATAGGAGTAGGAAGAATGTAAAAGGTGTTTTCAATAGCGTTTAAGTTGTATTAAGTAGAAAAAAGGGAGCGAGTGATACGTTATATTAAACTATCAAGCAGACTTCGCACGTTGCTTCTTATAAAAAATATACGCAGCATTATTTTCGAATGCATTCTACGCAGTGGCGTTAGCAATTCAGTAACCCCAAGGAAGGAGGATTCAAGGCCGGCTCTTGAGTACCCCGATGGGACATTACAAATGGACAAAGATGGTGCCTTCTACATGGAGGGAAGGCAGATGGGCGATCCGAAGCATGCTCTGGATCAATAGAGATATGGAGGCGGAGCAAGTGACGATAGAATCCCCGGATCTGACTGCGGCGGTCATCCGGCTTCCCGGGCGATTGATCTTTATGGCATCAGTTTTTAGAGGATTTGCTTGACATTGGCATTGATCCTTCCAATAGTTAGTTAGTTATTGAAGTGCGGAGTTAACTAAGCAAGAGATCATCGCCTTGCTTGACCAAACTGATCATGCAACCCGATTAATATGAATCGTATGGTATAAGATCATGCAATTCAGCTCATTTCATGGCGATCCTGAAGCCCCTGAGACTGCATAAATATCGGCTTCTTTATCGTGTAGTTAGAAAGGGATAAGCCTTCAATTCATTCGTTTGATATAGCCAATATAATCGCTTCATTCGATTTCTTTAGTGATCCAATCCATTTACATCCTTAGTCATTCTGCTTGCCAAGCCTTCGCACGTCGATACTGGGGTATTCGAGGTGGGGAAAGACGTAATACTGCACAAGCTATTGCCAGTTTTGGACTACGCTGGCAACCGTTCATTCCCACAAATCCGCTTAATCACATGTTGGTTGAGCGTTTGCTCCACTGGGTTCAAATACAGGACCTGTCCGCGTGATGCGGTCATTTTGCACCATGTGCATCTGTTTTTGACGCTTGGCGAAAACGGAGCACGGTTATACTCAACGATTCCGTTCAACAACAAAGGAGGTCTTTCTTTGCACGCCCCGGGAACTTTCTTAAGTACATCCCCTTATAACCAACGTCAGTAGCATAGAAATGGCTGCTCATCACCAGGACAAACCAATAACCTTCTTTCCCTACGTCTTTCCTACTTTCTTTGGGAGGAACGTCTAACCCTTAAAGACCGTGTGAATTAAAACAGGTTTGGTTCTTCGTATAAACAATATTATGTAGAGCTTGGGTTATTAAAAAATATACGCAACGATAGGTATCTAAACCTGAAGTATTTATTAATCACAGGGCAGGAACCCATAATGTAAATTGGATAGCCACTGTGGATAACTGTGAAGTACGCTCGCTGCAAAAGGGACAAAACAGAACTGGAAATGCATGTTCTGGTAGAATGAAATCTCCCTCCGCAGCAACGGTTCTTTTTCTCGCTGAACAAGTATTAGGAGAGTCAATTATATACTTTTGAGAAACCTACTCTTAAAGTTAAACTAAATGGAGCCTACCTGAATTTAAACTACCACTCAAGCGACGTACCGTACCAAAACCGTATCTATTTAATCGCTGCTTATTGTATTGGTTTGGTAGGATTTATTGACAGCTAGGCTGACGATGAAATTGGTGGAATGTTTGATCAATTCTACTACGCAGCGAGGTTGCAGACTAACTAATCGCTGTGTGGGTCATGTGGTGCACTAAACTACATTAGGAAGCTCGCACATGCGAGGCACCGCCAACATTTATCATAATTATCATTCAAGAATCAAGATAAAGACAACCCAACACCATACTTCTTATTTCCCTGCATTACTGTTATTGTTGACACGACAGGGGCTTCTTCTGGAAAGATAGGTATATGCGATACAATGGACTCTGCCGAGCATAGCGCAGGCTACAAGCATGGAAACACAATAACGAAAAGAAATGGTTTTCTACACGAACAGACCTACGCACATCAAGGTTAGCGAAACTCCCGGAAATGAAGACAGCCTGTCCTTTATTTGCAAAGTTAACATAACATGGGAGAGAATAGAAAATTTTCTAAAATCATGGTGTCAGTCAATGCGTTTGAAAGTCACTGGTTTCTTCGCCTTGCTAAGGATGTCGCACGTGACTGAAAGGCCTGTCCTATATCGATCTTGGAATAAAGGCAAAAGCATGGGTTCAAACAGGCGACCCCACGTAAGCCTTATGGGTGGCAAAAGGGCAGGCCTAGGAAATGTTCGTTGAACTTTGATTTTCCATATAATGTATTCCTCCAGTACCGGAGACAGTCATTGCTAACTGAACCTTTAGATGGTAAGGTGGCCGCGCAAATATTTTAGGACCAGTAAATCGACAACCCAAGGGAACCAATTTCGAAAGCTGCGCCGTCATTATCTGGGAAAAGGTGCTTATTTTAAAGATTATACGCGACATTGCCAGAATAAGTCGATACCTTGGGACAAAGGATTATGCGATATTCCTCCTGCAGAAGATATTTTCTCAATCAAGAACACTGGAGTTAAAAACCTGGAGCCTGCGCCAATAGCTGGGAGAAAGCCTTGGGATCAGCTGCCGCGAGCGCTATCCGCACCCCTTGAGACATGGACACTCCAGCTAGGGGAAACTGTTGAAGTAAACCTAGGTCAAGAGGGAAGAGGATACGCAAAAGTATCAGATATACTCAAGTTCAAAACCGGCGCCCTGGTCGTTTATTCTTTTTCCTTTCTTTGCTATGTGCCAAGGGCGCGCTAGTCCTGGTAAGGAAAGGCTCATATTAACAGTCACTACTCGTTGAATGGTACATACGGTACCGCACCGTATAGAAACGATCGAGTGTATTAACGAAGTTAGTTATTAATCCTTGCACAGTGCATTACGTCATCTCCAGTCTAGACTTGTGTAAATCAAAATATAAGGCTTAGCGATCCCAGGCCCTCTTTTTACATAGAGGTTAGAAATATAAGGAGATTGGATTGTGTTATTAAAAACAGATTCAATCGGAAGGTGTACGAAATCTAATAACGAGAACACGACCGGTCGGATACCCCAGGGCAAGTATATCATGTTTGGTAGCATGACATCCATGTCCACGAAATTCAGGAGGAAGCCATATTACGCTTTTACCTCTCCAATAGACCCAGGAGTTCTCAACTGATATCTGGGAGCCTTGGTTGTGCTCCATATGGGTATTACCTGAGGCCACTGAATCAACCGAGTCAAAATGGCCCTCGAGGGTTCGCAGCTCCGCACCGGTCTGGGCATCCCAGAGCTTGATGGTCTTATCAACAGATCCGGACACGATTCTCTGGCCGTCCGGTGAAAAGGCCACTGAATAAACCGAGCCAGAATGGCCCTCGAGGGTTTGCAGCTCTGCACCGGTCTGGGCATCCCAGAGCTTGATGGTCTGATCGTCAGATCCGGACACGATCCTCCGGCCATCCGGTGAGAAGGCCACTGACCGAACCCAATCAGAATGGCCCTCGAGGGTTCGCTCCACACCGGTCTGGGCATCCCAGAGCTTAATAGTCTGATCGTCAGATCCGGACACGATCCTCCGGCCATCCGGTGAGAAGGCCACTGACCGAACCCAATCAGAATGGCCCTCGAGGGTTCGCTCCACACCGGTCTGGGCATCCCAGAGCTTAATAGTCTTATCGCCTGATCCGGACACGATCCTCCGGCCGTCCGGTGAGAAGGCCACTGAAGGAACCGAATCAGAATGGCCCTCGAGGGTTCGCAGCTCCGCACCGGTCTGGGCATCCCAGAGCTTGATGGTCTGATCGTCAGATCCGGACACGATCCTCCGGCCGTCCGGTGAGAAGGCCACTGACCGAATCCAATGAGAATGGCCCTCGAGGGTTCGCAGCTCCGCACCGGTCTGGGCATCCCAGAGCTTGATGGTCTGATCGACAGATCCGGACACGATCCTCCGGCCGTCCGGTGAGAAGGCCACTGAATAAACCCAGCCAGAATGGCCCTCGAGGGTTCGCAGCTCCGCACCGGTCTGGGCATCCCAGAGCTTGATGGTCTGATCGACAGATCCGGACACGATCCTCCGGCCGTCCGGTGAGAAGGCCACTGAAGGAACCGAATCAGAATGGCCCTCGAGGGTTCGCAGCTCCACACCGGTCTGGGCATCCCAGAGCTTGATGGTCTGATCGACAGATCCGGACACGATCCTCCGGCCGTCCGGTGAGAAGGCCACTGAATAAATCGAGCCAGAATGGCCCTCGAGGGTTCGCAGCTCCACACCGGTCTGGGCATCCCAGAGCTTGATGGTCTTATCGCCAGATCCGGACACGATCCTCCGGCCGTCCGGTGAGAAGGCCACTGAAGGAACCGAGCGAGAATGGCCCTCGAGGGTTCGCAGCTCCGCACCGGTCTGGGCATCCCAGAGCTTGATGGTCTGATCGTCAGATCCGGACACGATCCTCCGGCCGTCCGGTGAGAAGGCCACTGACCGAACCCAATGAGAATGGCCCTCGAGGATTCGCAGCTCCGCACCAATCTGGGCATCCCAGAGCTTGATGGTCTGATCGTCAGATCCGGACACGATCCTCCGGCCATCCGGTGAGAAGGCCACTGACCGAACCCAATCAGAATGGCCCTCGAGGGTTCGCTCCACACCGGTCTGGGCATCCCAGAGCTTAATAGTCTTATCGCCTGATCCGGACACGATCCTCCGGCCGTCCGGTGAGAAGGCCACTGAAGGAACCGAATCAGAATGGCCCTCGAGGGTTCGCAGCTCCGCACCGGTCTGGGCATCCCAGAGCTTGATGGTGTGATCGTGAGATCCGGACACGATCCTCTGGCCGTCCGGTGAGAAGGCCACTGAATAAACCGAATAAGAATGGCCCTCGAGCGTTTGCAGCTCTGCACTCCATGACTTCTGCACTTGTGGCAAGTCAGGCATCCAATTAGGTCGTTGGTTGTGGAAGACTTTTCGAATAACACTCTCTGTAGGAGAGAACGCGAGTCCAGAGCAGTATACTTGAAGTGGGATATTGTCGATCATTTGGATATGCTTCAAGACAAATCGGTTGGCATCCTGTAAAAAGTCTGCTAACTCTGTACTCATATTATCCTTCAAGGACGATTAGTAGCTATACGTGACAGTTTAAATAGCAACTTACTCTTAACCTTGACCTTAGTGCATTGACTATACCAATAGTCCCTGAGGCAAGTCCCATTAAGCTCATAGCCTCCAACCAATGGAGGAAATACTCTTTCAGAAATGAGAATACTTCGATCTCAGACGCATCGGATTTACTCTTGCTGAGGTGATATACCCAGTAGCGGCAAGAGTATTGTAGAACTTGCGAAATGTACTGAGAAATCGCACCATTGCTAATGTCTCCCCGCTGTGTCCCATAACTTGATAATCGGCAGATATTGTGCTTTAACCCTAGACTAGGATCTTTCATGACATGCAGACAATTCTGTAAAAGCTCTTCGTGACTCTTCTTTTCATCAACACGTAAATCGTCGTCCTTTGTGTTGACAAGGAATTCTCGAAATGATAGATGCAGAATGCGGACTGGTGCGCAAGAATCCTTTGGGACACTAAGAACGGAGTGAAATGCGTCCAACAGAGCCGTAAGTTCACCTTCTTCCATACCAATAAGCCTAGAAAGGCTATGAACTGATAGTGGATCAGCAAGGAGAATGATAGCTCCAACTACCTTGCGGAAGTCGTTCTTGAGAACTGCATCGCTCTTAACACGGTCCTTTAATATTGGCAAGTATATTTTCTCCATCTGAGTCGATGCCGTCAGATGCTGATTCTTGAGGATTATATCCAGCTGTCGTGTAGGAACCCGATACTTCTCTCCCACGAAGCGGCAAATTGTGGCTGCGAAGATGAATAGAGGAACAGCCAGTTTGACTAATATCTCCGTCGTCTCACATCCCGGCCAATCTTCAGGGACTTTCCGCCTTCCCCTTATATGAGAAAACTGATATTGGAAGAACACGCGGATGTCATGTTCAATATTGGGCACCTGTTGGAGAACAATGTGTTGATGGTCTTGGTTTTGTTCGAAGCCATCACGGATTGAAAGCTCAGGCCGGCTTGTCAGGAAAATCCGCAGGCGAATGGACTTGGATTTCTGCAGCTGCGGCAAAAGCCTGAGTAAAACTTCAATGTCATCATCTTCGCACTCGTCCAAGGCGTCTATCACAATCACGGAAGTGGTCTCATACTGTTCTCCCTCGCTGAGTGGTTGAAGAAGGAGCTTATCAAATTGCTGATCGAGAGCTTTTGTCGACAAATCTGCATCATTCCGAATTGCCCCTAACATACCAGAGGCCAAATGCGGGTGACTGGCCATTAATTGCCTGGCTATCGTCGAGATGAACCTCCTTGCGTTACCACGGTCCGCTTCGCCTTTCTTGAAGAAAAAACTGGCTCCCAGTAATCCCTTATCTTGAAGTACCTCTGCGACCGTCCGGGAGATGGTAGACTTGCCAGTACCTGCCATACCATTTAACCAAAATATGCATTTGTCGGATGTTTCGGCCCAGCCTATAATCTGGTGAAGAAGATCATGTCTGGTGCCCGGTAGGCACTTCTCTTCATGCTGATCCTCATATGAGTCGTATGGTGCTCCTTTCGCGATAGGTAGACTAAACCTCTTGATGAGAGCTTGTAGATGTTCTGATACCTCTTGATCGATTCTAGCTAGCCGAGACTCTGCCTTTTCCCCATTTCGCATAATGGTATCTAAAGCGTCGAAACGGACCCACTGGCATAGCTTCTGCCATTCTTCCTCAATAAACGATCGAAGTTCGGAAAGGCGTTGATCGGTTATTGGTGTGACACTAATCAACACTTTTTTTCCGATGCTGGCTTGTTGGGTAGCTAAAATCTCTGCAGCATATCGAAGAATGGCCATATAAACCCTGATTGTCGCACGGCCTATCTCAATCTTTTTCTTGGAGCTATTGCGGTAAAACCTCTGCTCGATATAGGCGCATCGAGTAATAATGTCTGCAAGGTATTCTGACGAATTAAACAAGGCATCCCGCAAGTCAAGTCGATTTCGCGCCATCTATGATTGAGAATGTTAGTCTCATCCCGCTCTGGATCGATAGTAACATGGCTCACTGTCAATCCAAGGGAAACGACTGCCCACGCACTTGCTGCATGGTGGGTGGGATCAAAGGCTACCACGGCAGTGATAATATCTTTAAACGACAATGCAGCATCAAGTATTTTCCTTGACACCCTTCGAATATCTATGACTTCTCCTGTTGACCGATGGATTTTGATGCCCCCTTGCTGGTATTCCTTGTACTGTTTCTCGGTTATTTGAATAACCCCATCGACGATATGTCCGGCCTGGGAGAAACTTTCTTCTTTTTCTGATTCAGCACTGGCTTGTACTGTAGACAGAATAACTTGCTCCTCGGGATTTAGCTTATCATAGGCAGATTTCCATAGGTCTTCGGGCAGGGAAGTGTCCTGAGTGTCGACTGTATCGGGCGGTGTGGCTGCGGCGATTGGGACTGATGCGGGAACCACAGACTGGTTGGGTTGACTCCCGACATGATGCGGCTCGGACTTGTTGCGGTGGGAAACACTGAGATTTTTTAACCACCGTTTCATCATGAGCAAATCCAAATAATCACAATGTACGCTAAAACTTTCATGGAGAATGACCTGGGCAGAATGAATGAGGCGAGGTAGACTTTTTACGAGAGTGCCTTGTCTCGATGTGTTGGCGCGGCTGAAAGGGTAGAGTCCCATCGTTGACCAATAACAAGCTGCCATATCATCATGATCAGCTTCCCCCTCCCATCGAGCTTACGTTCCGTTCGAGCCATGGGAAATCGGGGTTAGTCAGCGCCAGCCAGACACTAACTTCCTTCATGCTCAGATCGAACCGTGGGATTAATATGGGACGGGCCGGAGATCCACATAGTCTTTACTGCCAGGGGCACATTTTTTATGTAGAGTTTTTATTTGCAACTATGCCCCTTAGCCTCTTTATCCCGGTTGGATCTGGCTGCAATTACCAGCGGATATTACATGCCGGCCAGAGGTTGCTAATTGTACTGGACTCGATGTGGAAAAATGACGGCCCGTTGTGCAGGTCATGTTACAAAGGCGGGGTACCTCACACCAGACCTAGTCAGTAACTCTGAGCTGCCGTATCACCTCCTTCGCTAGAAAGCTAGCAGCTTATTTGCGCAAGGGCTAGATCAAAACAATGGCTGTGGCTCTATTGATCATTCTTATTGGCTTGTTAGGGATATTCCCCGTGCTGCATAATTTACCCATCGAAGCTAACGCCATATGATGTTTTCTAGGCTCCTCGGCGGCATCTACTGTATTGAAGAGACGGTATGCAGCCCTCTTAACAACTACGCTACGCAGGTCGAATCATGGCAACAAACTCCGTCATATGCCCCTACCCCTGGGAACTTCGGCTTCGATACACCATCCTTTCGTAACCCCTCCCCTCCGCGTATATCGCAGGAACACTCCACTCTATTACCTGAACCCCTGCGTAGGCAAGTCAGCCTCTCTGACAACGCTGACTGGGATGATGAGAGTATATTATACATCATCGAATGGAAAGTAACCATAAACAACCGGGTTGTGTCGAAAGACACCGAACAAGATCTGGAGCTGAAGCCACGTGTCTACTGGCAAGCAATCACCGAGAAGGCCAAAAGGATCATAGACCGGAAGAAGAACTCCAACCAACGCGTGAGACCAGATGATACCACGATCGTGGTTTCTGTGAATGATCGTAAACATCGCGACCTCACGAAACAATTTGAATATACTGATGTCGATTGGACCGCTATAGAGAGGCAACTTCTGTCGTGGAGGACGCTTTTCCATGCGGGGAAGGAGTTAAGGCTTTCCATAACTATCAACTACTTAGAGGACAGCAACCCATCTCCTTCTCGAACGAATAAAAGAGGACCAACATCGACAACGACGAGAATGCTAGGGGAACGGGAAGCCCAAATAGAAGCGGAACGCTCTTCTGGGCAACCTGCTGCCTGGCGGGATGTGTACAAGGTGATGCGTTGCCCTGGTCGACCGTGCCACCATAATGGCCAGTTCTGCTGGTTAGATCCGGCAGGGAAAAAGCATTATAAACTCCTGTCACACCATCTGAGAAGTCTTGTTCAGCACGTGGAGGACGGAAATGTCCTAGAGACCCATGACGATGTTCCATATGAGGTTCGGGAAAGGTTGTATGCAGAGGACGAAAAGCAGCGTGAAAAGGGGCAGAAATAAATTAACCCAGCGAATGGATTAATCCCTCCCATCAACATTCATTTCCTGCCGGCACAGTCACCTCTGTGACGATCTCAACCTCGGCATAAGGAATGACTACCGAGGCTGCTAAGACTGCTAAGATTAGCAAGGATTGCCAAGACCACTGCTTAAGACCAACAGGGTTGCCAAGACTGTATGAACCAAGATGTCAAGGTTTCATGTTAAGATTACAGGAGGATCAGGGCACTAATGAGTGGCACCACCCATTGTTTGTTTGACTTGTTTGCATTTCTGCTTTACTATTTATTCTCCCTGTTAGCAGCGTTCTCCTGTTCTTCTTTCTTTTTCTTCTCTAACTTAGTGTTTTCGTATCTGGCCTACAATGAGATTTATTTCTTTATTCTGAGGTTGTAACAACCTCAGGCATCAACAATTCCAACAGGCAACATTGATGGTCATACGTCGAGGTCCAATCAGGCTGAGAAAATCAACATCCCCGGACTTTTTGAAGTAGCAGTGGATAACTACACTGACTGGCAGCTAACCCGAGTGGACACTGGACTTTTTAAAGATAATATCAAAAAGGCGCGTGATATCACATTGGAAAATTGCCTCGACCTTTCACAGATTTATTACGAGGTGAAGCCCGAGTTTTACGTTGAACGGGGTGTGAAGATAGGAGTTGCCCGCAGGTTTGTGCATGATATCAGTCTGTGGGTGAAGACTTATACACATAAGGATAGCGACAACAGCGTTAATTAATATATAACGGGAGAGATATGTATAATAACTTTATTGGTTCTGTGATATCTTATTGTTACGAACCTAAGCGCTACGAACAAAGACGAGGCTGACAGGGAGGTTGCCAAGAGGAAGCTAGTTCAGGGAAGAACAGTGACAGCCAACCGATCTGAGAGAGAGGTAGGACTGGTCACGTGACGAACAGAGCGAACAGAGCTGAACAGAGGAATACGCTATGTCGGCTATGTTAGTGACAACAGAGCGGACAGAGCGGGATGCAGAGAGAAGCTATGTTGGCTATGTTCAAGGAGAACTATATAAGGACACTCATTTGCCCACCTGTTAGATAGACCTTGTTTAGTTCTTCGCGTTCAATTTCAATCATTGTCTTTGATAGTTACCTTCAGTAACTGCTAGTACGATTCGTCCACACTCTATCACAGGAAGGTATACGTACCGGCCTGGCCTTACTTCTTCCTTAGCTGTTTAGGGATCTTTCGATCATTGTGTTAGTTCACCGGAACCCAGGTTTGGTTCCCAGGAGCAGTCATCAGTTACCCAAGAGCATCGGTGCTCTTAGGATAAGTATTATCCGTTCCCAGGATCAGTTGGACTGATCACCAGAGTACTCAAACTACACACTAGCAGTCAGCACAGCTTAGGCGGATCCTAGGGTTTGACACTTATACATCCCTGATCCGTCTTAAACTTAAACAAGACAAAATTCTTTGAAGGAAACATGTATGTTTGATTATTGTCTAGTTGACCGCTTTAATCCAAGGGAAGGATGGGCATGTAATCATCATTCTGACTACATTCAAAGATCCTCTTCAAGCTCTAAACAGATATGTCAAAATGCCACTGAGCCAAAAAAGGTCAACCCTTCTTGACTAGGGTCACTTTGCATAATTTATGCTTATCGCACTTCAACAAGATAATATATTGACTAAAACATGACAAAACGTGCAACAGCCCACAACACAACGTCGCTATCAACTACCCTTCAATCGCTAGGCCTGCATTACGGAAATGTCCTTCAGCACTCTCCTTCTTTGCGCCTACAACATCTACACACCACTCAAGAAAAGAACCAAACCCTTGATTGGGATTGTCTTCATAGGATTGCCAATTCCGTCGAATAAACGACTTCAACTCCGCAAAGAACTCTTCAATAGGATTCAAATCAGGCGAGTAGGGCGGCAAATATACTAATATAACTCCTCTCTGAGAACACATTTCTTTAATCCTCTCCGAATGATGGAACGAGGCATTATCCATTACCAGAACAGATTTAGGCTCAGGATATCTTCCACAATGATGGAGGAGTTCCTCAATGAAGTCCTCGAAGCGAGATGCGTCGGTTGAACCTTGAAATATACGAGAAAGAACGATACCATCATGAGCATAGGCTGGAAGGATATGATATCGCTGGCCTCGATGGAACTTTGTAACGTGCACAGGAGCAATACCCAGCGGAGACCAACCGGTCCTTCTAGTCCCTATTCGCCTATCACATCCTGATTCATCGACAAAAACAAATTGGCTAGACTGGAAATCCGAGATGAAGTTGGTATACTCGTCTCGCAAGTCAGCATTTTGCTCAATAGCCTTTTGCTTGGCTTTCTTCTTTGACCAGCCCTCATCTGAGAGCGCACGTCTAATGCTGGATTTCGATACTTCTTTTTGAACCATATCGTATACGAAAACCACCATCTCATCCAAGTATAAATGAGGCTTTTCAAGTAAATAATCACAAAGACTTTTGACCATGACCGGGGTGAGACTCCGCGGCCGTCCACCTCGATTCAAGGGGGCTTTCATCGTACCAAACATGCGTTTGTTGGAACGCAGTCTTCTGATAGTACGTTCATGACAGTCAGCCGCTTCAGCCATTTGGACAGCTGTGAGTTCTTTGCTCGTTATCATATCATCGATAAGCTGCAGAGTGGGCGCGGCTAAGTTAGGTGCCATCCTATCGTGCGCGATATAAGACGTATGATCGACGGTTGAAGTGGGAAGGAATGTTGAGGTGGGGGCTACTGCAGTACCGATGTGGCTGATGATATAATCACGTGGAGTTCTGTGACGGTATGCATTGATACGATACATGACCTATGTTCTGAGACTGGCCAAATAAGGACTAGCGCCATCTTGGCAAAGGAATTGGAAAACAATTAATGAATATAAGACCCGGGCGCCGGTAGTGAACTCCAGTGTATCCGCCCACTGGGTGATGGACGCTTTGCTGTGGTCTATGCGTGGCTATATACTCGAAAGGATGTCATATCTGAGTTCCTAGTGGATGGCAAACTTTCTAGAGAAAGTCGACGCCATATCAACCATAACTGGCCTCACGACGCTCACTACAGTTACATGGTCAGTACCAATCGGACCATTACCCTCTGGGACACGGCCATTAGAGTAGCTCCAAAATACGTGCTCAACGAGATATGTCAGGAGCTTGTGTACCGCACCACGCCGCGTATGAGGAGGATAAGTTCTATCCATGAAAGACCAATGAAATGGATGAAAGAGATATTAAACTTATCCTGCCCAGAAGATACTTATGTTTCTTCTAGTTAAGCATCACTTTAGGAGGTGGGAAGTGTTGGCGTTGAATTGGCTATGACTGAAAACTTTCAAAACTACCTATATGAATGTGTAGCCATAGAACTAAGGTAGTTGTATACCGCCGACCCTTCCTAATGCAGGGCTGGACGTGTGCGCATCATGTCACGTAGCTCGAGCTCCTGGCTTCTTCAGCAACGGAATAATCCAGGACACGGCACATGTAAGCGAAGCATTCTTGCTGAAGACCCAATTCTTGCCGTTTCTTTTCGATAGCTTTTAAAGTATCAAGCATCTATCAGACAGACAAAATAATATTCAGCACAACAGTTCCAAGCTACTAAGTACACATGGGACGGCTCTTATCCAAAGCAGCCAATAAAATACTATATGTATCTAGCACTTTAACTCGCCATCCAGGTTTGACAGGTTGTCATCTAAGAGGTTCGGTTAGCTAAAGCAAGATAAGAAGATAGCTACCTACCCAGATTGATAAGCGGGTAGTTAATGCTGTTGTCCTTAGTCGGACAGCCACATCTTAGCCAAGTTCCATCAATACTACAAGAACAGGATCTTGCTATCCCACCCCTATCAAATATTAGCACTATAGCCCTTATAGGATAGCTGCACTAACCCTTTTCTAAATCTAATAACCCCATTGCTATTGGTATAGCAAGCGCCCAAATCCAGGCTACTTCTATTTCTGGTGCCATCCATTTTCGTGCAGGTTGCAGTCACATAATGCGCTACCTCGCGGTTGAACAACTTACAATAAACCATATAACTCACTGTAGGCCTCGGATAATGGCCGCTAAAAGCCCTGGAATGAGGACTACGACGAAATAAAACAATGCCCCAGATAGTTGCCCCAGGCCCCCAGCCTAAAATCACGTCAGGTAAACTTTGTGTTCAAGTGCGATGAGCATAAAATTGCGCAAATGACCCTAGTCAAGAGGGGTTGACCCCTTTTGGCTTAGTGGGAAAACTGCCACACCTTGGTGCCCCACTTTCTCCAGGTGTTTTGTGGTAGGCAGATGAGTTCAGGGCAAAGTGGCGGGATCCGACAAAGGAGAAGCTGGTGATCAACGGAGGGTAGACGGTAGCGGATTTGATATGATGGCAGGTAGAAAATTATGGCTACGCCCGTTAAATAATCTAGCGGCCCTCTATTTTTCTTTTCCCTTCGCCAATTCACATGGTCTCGGAAATACGATCGCTTTGCTGCATGAGAGGATGATAGTAAATCCAGCCTTTTTATGACCCCGTTTGGGAAAACTTCTTCGTGTTTGAAAGTCATATGATTCCATTCCCAAAATGAGTCATTTGGAGATGGTCAACTTCGAAGAATTGAGTTGAGTGTTTTCTTTACGGCACAGCTCCACGAACGCCTGGCAGGAAAGGTTTTACGCTCTCAATCCATTGCATATAAAGGGCGACTAACGGCTCTACACAAAGCAAAAAACTTTTTCAGCACGAGCGCTAAGACTTCAATCTCGGACAGTCCTGCAAGGCATCATATAGTACAATGGAAGCGGAAGACCCGAACAAGGAAATCGACATCCAATCCACGGATGATGAGCCCGACTCGGAATATGATGAGACCGAATCAGACAAGGATTTCATCATCACAGATTATCTGTCGGACATAGGAGACGACCGGACGTACGTGCCGACGGATGAGAATCTTTCTTCTTCGGAAGATGACAGCACCACGGTATGACTGCGATCTGAAGGAGTAAGGACATTGTGCTTACAAATAGGCAGGAAATTTTCGAATTCTATGGAGATGAAAGCTACGGAGACGAAAGCTCTGGAGATGATATCATAATTCTCGGGAAGCGTTATGTTATGCAAGGAGAAGAGGAGAAGACGCAGCTATTGATTAGAGGCTGGGTCGATGAAGGTGTTATTTCGGGTATTACCCGTACCGCTACCTTGAAATGAAGAATTCTTGGGCCAGAAACGAATATTAGATGCCTGATTATCGCATCTTTGGAGCCCAAAGAGGAGATGATCGATGCCGTATATTGCCTGCTTTAGGTCCACAGCTGCTGAATGTACAGAATAGAGCACCCTAAGGTCAATGTTGGCTGGTTAATAGAGGTCATTTTATTTTAGTGTAGAATAGTATACATGAAGGGGGCTAGTGCCCGAGAAGCCTCAATAGCTTTTTTAATGGTATTGACGCCAAACAGTTGGTTGCATGAATTCCTCTCGTGGTTTCTCGCCGATCACTTAGTAGTCGGTTGAGATTATGCAATGCAACAAAGGCATCAATCTATATCCTTTCGATCTTGCCTTTATTACGACGCTTGTGCGATTGCCTAGTTAGAGTAACACGATATGGAGGGCAAAATCCTTTGAACAAAATATTACAACGAAATGTGTACCTTGCGCTCTCCAGGCGCGTTGCTCAGAAGTATAACGAACACTGGACGCGACGATCGGGCGCAATGTGGGAATGGAGGCAGCGAGAATAACGATATAAGCTTCCAATATGGCGCAGATTGTAGGATTAGCCATAGCGTATGTCCGATCGTCTGTGACTATAATAGTTCTCAACTGGATAGTTTTCACAACCGATGCAACCATCGCACTGCATGGAATCAAAGACTTAGTGCTGGATCGATGATTAATTCCCTAACCCTGCCAACTATTGCACTCACAAGATGCTCAGGCCCATCAGGACAGACAGTGACAACTTCTTCTTCCATTCCATGTTCAGGCTTAAGAACATGCTGGCTGGAAAAATCGCCAGGACAAAATCAACCGCAGAAGCTACAGCTTTTGGCTTCGTTAATATCCTCCAGTAGCAATAGATAAAGGCAGGCCATTTGATAGGAGATAGAAGAGATGGCGTACAACTCTGAAAGTATACTGTATTCTGAGGCACTTTAGGTGGCCAGCAACTCCCCGGCACGCTGTGATCCCAATACCTCCTCATCGGCCTACATTGTGCGAAAATAATAATCACAGTCCCACAGTCTATTATGAACCCCGTACAGATGATACCCCAAAGCAAATGCGAGCGCCATGGGATTGGTGGAACAAGGCTGAGCAGCAAGGATGCGTACGCTATACGTCCGATGCATGGCGACAGAATGGTGAAGAACCTGCCGATCTGTACCCATTTTATAGCGTACATGATTTGGTCTGCGGATAATGCTTTCTCGTGGAATCCCAGACCCCAGTTGGCGGAGATCGTCAAGCAAATGGACATACCTAATCCGAGAGCCTGGATGAATTCTTACTCATCTGGAAATTAAGGCTTGATCTAGGATTCAATGTGCACTTACTAGTGCCAACAGAATTAGTCCATCGCCGACCATGAGCTTTTTCATGACCTTGACTCGGGCGTAATATCTGGCTACAATGACGGTAGTGGCGAGGCCATGGAATGTCCAAGCAACAGTCAGCATGGCAGTTCCCAGGTTCCTAGAGCTGGACATGTAGGGAGCTGAATAATTGAGCACTCTAGGTAGTGAGACAAAAGGACCCTGGATGGCTCTAGGGGCCAAATTCAATGAATAATGTGCAGAGTCAGACCTGGCAAAGAATTCAGGATAAGCCCCTCCGGAAGGCTGCCATTGAAACGACTCTGGGCTGACTTAAATATGTAAGCCGTGAAAGGAGGTGAGAGCAGCATAATAGGTTAAGTTAGTAATTAAGTTACTGTAAAACCTTGTCTGTTGGAGCTGAGAAACGGTGTAACCAAGGACCTCTAAGGTGTCTCAAGATTCTACCAGCAACCGTGGCTACCTGCTTTCTCCCGGCTGTCTCCTTTCTATCCCTTCAGCTTTGCGATCTCAAATTTGGATTACGGAGCAACTCACGTCTGGAAATATCGCAGCCTAAGCAAGGCTTCGGCAGCTCCCTAGAATGGTGTCTCGATATTGGATTTCTTGTTCAGTCATCCCACTGAAGACATATCGCACGTTTCAAGTACATGAATAGCTGTAAGACATGGTAAGAATGAATAGAAATACGGGCTGACGGTAGCACCTAGAAGTCGTACAGAGCATTTTAAGAGGTGAAGTTTCATAAAGGCTTTAGGGGAATACGAGAACAAGCAGTCGGCCACACAATATTGGTACGAGAAACCTCTCTTTTGGAATATGATAATTGATAGCAGCCGTTTGTACTGTTACCAGTTAAGCCACCTGGAAAGGTTGTTTTTAGACAACGCTTACTTTCTCTTCGCGTTATATGTACATCATCATCCGGCCGTTGTAGTAGACCGGGGGCTTCTGGGAGGGTGAAGAGCTTTAAGGATCTACAGTATATAACAACGAGCCTACTATGTCCTGAATGCCTGAAGCTGCTGGTGGAGAGCAGGAAATGCATATTTCTCTTGCCATGAAATATTGGGAGACCTCTTCCCAAATACTTTAAGGATTTGCCGTGAACCAATTATCTTAGTGTGCCAGAAAAACATCCTAAACCTACTTTCTCACCCGCCTCTCATTTCAGGGGACCCCAATATAATAAGCGAACACCAGTGGTTACAAGCCATGTAGTGCCTCATAGGTCAAACATTGTATACGACCCTTGGCCTTCGAGTCTAACACGACAGGTTGGAGAGGTCAATTTGATATGCCCCATGTCCCTTATCTTGGAGCACCATAGCCATAGGCCTGTTGGTGATTGGGGACTGTGGTGAGAATTGGTACCTCCAGTGAACCAAGCTAGCTGGTATAAATGACTAGATAATTCTTTTGGTGCCACCGTCTCTCACCTCCGTCACTCCGTTTTTCTCCCGACACGCCTCCACCATCTCGCCCACACGGCGACCTCTTTGCAACCATGCGGAGCCTGGATGTCCCGCAGATATATGGCACTGTTATGGGCAGCATTATCATAATCCTGTGTCTGATTAGGGCTTTCTCCTTGACTACAAGATGGAGGCTTTGGGGACTCCTCATCAAAAGAGAATTGACACTCAATTTCCTCGTCCGTCGGCATCGATTTGTTGGCCCCTGGACCTGGGGCAGCGTCGTTGTTCACTTGTATTATATCGCGGCCAATGTGACTTTGATTCTTTTTGGAGACATGTCCTTGACTAGTGCCCACCGGCGCGCAGGATCCATAGCCGTCGTGAATATTGCATTCCTATTCTCCTTCGCACATCTAAGCTTTATGGCAGACGCATTAGGAACCACCTTGGAGATGTGTCAGCGGATCCATAGAGCAGTTGGTTGGATGACTCTGGCTTTGCAATCCTTCCACATAAGTGTGGCGACCCTGAATACCAAGGCTGATATCTCAATCCAGCGCTCAAATGATTTCGCTGGTATCCTTGTATGTTTCAATCACGCCTGCAGTTGACATCGCTGATAGCAGATAGGGAGCGGTCTCTGTAGGAGCTCTTCTTATTCTATCACTCGCATTGGTTCGGAGATGGTCCTACGAAACCTTTCTCCGCACCCATCAGATTCTCGCCGCTGTTAACGTCTATGGAATTTTCCGGCATCTTCCCCATAACAGCCAGTTTGCCAAAGTGTGTGTTTACATTGCACTTGGAGCATTGGCGCTCACGTCATCGGTTCAGCTGATGGTGTTTCTCTATCGAAATGGTCTTTTTGCGGCCAGGGGCTGCCCTAGAGCCATCGTTCATAGTTATGGAGGAGAAGTAGAGGACGACAGCAAAGAAATCAAGGATGGTGTCGTCAAGATGTGTATCACCCTTCCTCGCCCAATCAGAGTGGAGCCTGGGCAGTATATCAATCTATGGATGCCAACGGTTAGCCTATGTTCCTGGGCGCAGACGCATCCTTTCACCGTGGTTTCGTGGTCCCCAGATCCGCAGGGCACATTGGACCTGCTAGTGAAGCCGTCGGGGGGCTTCTCCGCCGATATTTTTCGCCACCTTAAGCCTTTTCAGAAGCAGGAGACTTCAGTTGTCTTTATGTCATTCTTCACGGGGCCTCATGGGATCAGCAAGAAGGTAAACGGCTACGAGAGTGTCGTTGTTGTGGCGAGCGGATTCGGAATCGCCGCGGTAGTGCCTTACATAAGACACATGATCCATGGCTACAACACTTGCACATCCCAAGTCCGTCGGATCCACCTGGTCTGGCAGGTGGAATCGCCTATGGGTGAGCTCTTTCCATCATTGCGCATATGAAGCTGACTAAATCCATAGGTATTGCTGTCGTCTCTGAAAACCTCTTGAATAGACTCTTGGATGATGACATTGTAGACAAGGGCTATGTTAGTTCAACCCCCCAAAAACGAGAGTAAGCCGGGCCCTTCGCTGATCTGGAAATTACTTAGATTTTGAACATTTCCATCTACCAGCGAAACGGTCAACTTTTAGAGGCAAAGCTCCCTGTTGGTGATAAATCCAAGGTCTTCATGTACCAAGGTAGTCCAGATTATCAGCAGATGATTTCGCTCGAAACGTCGGGGGATCTGATAGAAAGACACTCAGATATTCCTGACAAGTGTGGAGACGCTCTCGTGATGGGTAAGCTGGTTTCGCCCGGAGAAATACATTCCCACTGACGACTTCAGTCTCCACAACGGATGACGTGCGCGATCAATTACGCGAGATTATCCGGGAACGTAATGACACACGCGTAAATCTGATGGAGCTTGAATATCAACCATCTAAAGCGTAAGACTACGTTCCGTTTCTTTGTGAGTAGGGAAGAGAGGAAGTTATCAGAGATCTAGGAGATTCTTCTTCAATACCATGGTGCAGCATCTTGAATATGACAGGAGGAACTGGACGCATAATTTTATCGGATAGTGCCCGCTCTTCTTGTGGGTAAGTTGAATTTATACAGAGACACACGACTCCATGGGTCAACTCAGAACACGAGATTGACACATATATTTACGAAGTGGAAAGAGCGAACGGCTTCGGTTTTCAATGTTGTTATAGGGCTTTATAGGATCTGAGCCCGTGACATCTCTTAAACCCGTCACTTCAGCCCCTATAGCAAGTGTTGCATTCAGTCCTACAACAAGAGAAAAATATCAGTGCAATATAAATGGAACAATCTCGTAACTCGGTCTTGAAGGCTCACATCATGTCTAGAATATGCAGTTGACACAATATCTCGAGAGTTGTGGATAATACATTTGGGATCAAAACTGGCGCCCAGGCTTGATATATATCGTTTCCCAGGTACAAAGCCGTCCGAGACTGTGTCTATATTCATATGTGGACAACTACCCAGAAAGTCTTCATGAAAAGCTAGATGCTGATGTCTTGATAATCGTTGACTCCTGTTAAGCTAAGAGACTATGGTCGCGGTAGGTAATCTTCGTTCCAAAAAGCAACTCCGAACGATAAATCTATTAATTAAATATGACGCTAGCTATATATAGTATAGAGAAGGTTGATAGTTAGTGTCTGAAAGCATTTCTCTATACGAATGATACAAGGCATTATCATAAGAGAATCCCATGAAACTTAAGTACTGTAGCCAATGGAGCCCCAGAGAATAGATGCATATGGTAATATAATGGCGTGACAACCAGATTAAGGTCCTGCGAGTCCATGTAGGGGAGATCCGCAAAATATAAATCTGGATATCTTTCGTGCCAATCCCACCGACTGCTCCCTGCGCTAATAGAACTTTTGGAGGAAATGGCCGAAGATGCTCAGTTTGAAGATTGAAGACACAGGATGACACATCACGTAATGCAGTTCGAGTTCCGGCCACCCTTCCATATGGATACCGTCATACTGTCTGAAATTATAGACCAATCCCATCATTGCAGCTAGTTTCAAGACTCCGTCGCGTCGGCCAATTAGATATCTAATAAATCTTCGGCGAGTGCACTTCCCACAAACAAGAAGTCGCGCAGTTAGAGTGCTATCTTTTCCTGGATAGGCCTCCAGGTACTGCTGACAGGCAATGCAAAACAAATGGACTTCCATCTTGCAATCCAATAATGCCTACGCTAAGGGGGTTTGGTTAGCACGATGAATTAGTCCCACTTCATACCTACACCTACATACCTGGTCACTTGAATATAATCTATTCAATTTTAGGTATGACTCTGTCTGCTCTTGGGTGGGTGCTCCAATTTGTGTATTTATTTAACAGTATGGGTTTGTATATATCGGCAAGGCTCCTGGTAATGGGGGCAGATGACAGCTTCCCAGAGCTACTATTTATTATACAAGACCCCGGCCTTGTTTCAGGCACATCGAGGGAAACGTTGATTCCATCTCGAAATAAGACTTGGAATACAATAGATCATCAAAATAAAGATCCGGCGCTAGGTTTGAACTTAAGTGTAGTTCACTCGCTGTAAGACCACGTTATAGATGCGGAGACTAGAGCCAGCCGAACCAGGCTCACAAGTTCAGCAGTGGATGAACGCCTGGTTGTTATGAGGGAGTGCTAAAAGCGTAAGCACTAGACCGATTGGCGGATAACATTCTCCCTCACCTTTCTTAGGTCATCGATGCGTTTTGCCGATGTTGCACTCGACAGGAATCCAACAGCATCGGATCCTATGGGCCAACGAGTTGTGTCATCGACGCCAATGTTATGCTTGACGTACTTTTGCATGAGTTCAACCGCAAGGTATGCTACAGCGCTGATGGAACCTGATTGGGAATCTCCTGCGGTATACTCAACACATTCCAAGAGGGCCGCTGCCATGGTCAGAGTACTAGGCACAACGGTTGTATGGAACAGCCAGCAGTCTTTCCTAGAACTTACCGATCTTGACAAGGCCACCCTCATTGATAAGTATGTTAGAAGTGGTTAAAGCATCATGCTGTAAGCCAGTTACCAGTAGATATGAAACCCCGTCAAGAACCTTTCTATGTCAGTAATACATTGAGCCTGCTTGGGATTGAACTTACTTGTCCAATAATGGATGCCAATTGAGTCTCAGTTGGATACGCTGGACATGCAACAAGATGATCCAGGTTTAACGGCATATCATCAACGAGAAAGTAACTTATGCCCTTGTCAACGTAGCATTCAGTACAGCTTAAAATGTTTTCATGTTTGGTTTGTCTGAAGCATCCTAGTAGCCTTTGCGCCTCTTGGGAACTAGTAGAAGCCCGTATGGCCATCACGTTGGACGGCTTTTGACGACGAACGACGATAGAAACTTGGCCTGCCAAGTTGCAAGTAAACACACTTCGAAATACTTTCCATGGAGATCGGTTACGGATGATTGGTGACTCGACGACGCTGTCTCCAACCTCTACGATTCCAGGAAGCCTCAACTCCTTCGGTTTACCCTTTATGATCTTACCAGTAACATTTGGTAGTTGATTTCTCCCTTGTGATGGAGAGCCATTTGGCACTGGTGGACCGTTCGATGATTCATCAAGTACATTGGTTTTGAGCGGGTCTCCGGCCTGGGCGCGCAATATGTCGATCCTTGTTAAACGCCTGTTTTCCATGATGGAAGCACAGCTGAAATCCGCTGCTTGATAAGAATGACGCGAGGACGTGGTGTATCAGATGAACTATATACAGGAAGCGTATCCAGGTGTTCTGGAGACGTCAATTATACATTGGGTGACCTCATGTAAATAAGTCGACCTCAAAACAAGAAGGTCACCTTAGGTGGAATCGCCGCCGGAGCCCCAGGAGATCCTTCCCTAGCGCAATTTCATACAGGTATCGTTTTTGGTGCTTACTTGTGCACTTGGCGGAGGATGGAGTCGGCAATTTTCACCGATGCCGAATACCAAGTGACGGCAGAGAGGGCCCTCAAGTACCAAGGCACTGCGAAAATAAATATTGACGAAATCTCTTTGCACTCCTGCCTCACACAGGAGTATGACCCCAAAAACGTAGCCAGACTCTGCGGGGTATTCAGGAAGGATGGCTGCCGTCGCCTGGATCTTCGCAATCATGTCACGGGTGTTGTCTCCAAGCAGGGCTTGAAGCGTGCACGCCAGGCCGCGAGTGTCTCGAAGCAAGACTTATTGACTAATCCACCAGACCGGTACCCTCACTTGCATTTTCAAGTTGGAGACGTCAAATGTTTGCACGGACAACATCGTCTTAAAGCAGCGAGCGACATTCTCCCCCTCAGCGAGCGATGGTGGACAGTTGATTTGTACCGTGATGGTCTGCCTCCTCCCAAATCTCTCCGACCGTGCTTGCTTAAAGTCCGTACCACATCCGCGTTCTCACTCTAACATTGACTTCTTGCAGACATCAGTGATGGCCTGCGGAATACTCTCCATGACGAATACGCGAACGAAAAGAAACCCAGCGATGGAGAGATCTACCGAAAGATTCGGCAATACCAACACGAGCACAACGCCCGCTTTCAGAAGCGGTGGTGGTCACGTCTGTCGGAAAATAAATCCAAGCGCCTACGACAACTGACTTCTCCGGATTATGTGGACCTGTGTGCCGCCTTCGATGCTTTACTGCCCATTCCGGGATTATGGAACGGTATGAGCATCGGATCGCTCAACCGAGTACTGGCACTCAAATGTGATGAGGTTTGTGGTCAGGACCCTGTCACTCGCGAGATTGCTTACTAGGGACAGGAACTCATACACTACCTCGCCCATGTTCGGAACTACTGGGCGGTTCTTGTCGATCATGATCCGACCCAGATGGCTAAGATTGATCTGCATACTGTGGAAGCACTCCAGCTTCGTGCACCGACAGCATCTCAGGCGGACGCAAGAGCAGTCAAAGGATCCATAAAGAGTGGTGAGGTATTTGCCAAGTTCACGGACGCCGAGCGCAAACGCATATGGAAAAGATTGCGAAGCAAAGAGGCCTGCGACTGCATAGTGCCTTCTTTGCATACTTTTTTTCGCGACGTATTGTACTTAGAGCTCTGCGCGAACGGTGTCAAAAGACTGGCTACCCTCAGCAAGAACCAACCCACCGTTCGCAGAGCCATGCGCCACACCTTCCGGCATAGTCGAACGGACGAATATCCCATTCAAACATCCGAGGCCTCGTTTTGCCAGACGGCCGATAGGCAGGCCGACCAATTCGAACTGGGTTATCGGCAGGTCTGGCTATTTGCCATGCGCCATTACCCGGACATGCCAAAAGAGCCCACCACGCAGAACATCGTTGCCAAGAGCAACCGCGGAAAGGCCGATGAAGCTATCCTTCACGGGATGGCAGCGTTGGCACAGAAACTAGGTTTCGAATCTCCTCAGGTGAGGGAGCTTGTAGGTCGGTGTCCGGACCGGCAAATTGCGCGGGAAGCACTGATTAAAGCTCGGAAACTGAGTTGCTATCAGTATGACAGCGTTGTACTCGAATCTCTCATCGACCGCATCGTTGAATGCTTCGCGGCTGCGGTTCCTGCGAGCGGTCCATCTTACAGCGACCTACCTGCTCACGCACCGCTCCTGCGAAACCGATGCGGGCCCCCTTCGGAACAGTCGCAGGCCCACGATCGGTCCTTGCTGTTCCTCGACCAAGTCCATTCAATGTTGAAACCCAGTGACGCCAATGTATCTTCCTTTTTTGTGAGACAATCCGTTTATTTTGCTTTTTTTGGAAAGCCCTCTACCACTCATGCCCATAGGGCAAATGCCCCGGCTGGAATACCCCCCGACGGTCCTGGTTCTCCGCTATTCGTTCCGCATAATAACACTGTGGATATCCATCAACCGGAGCCGGGCATCAGTGGGCTTCGTACAGCAACTAATACCCTTTCAGACATGAGTAGCCCACATCACAACACCGAGGAAGGAGCAGCGTCGGAACCGGCAGATGAAGACCGATTAGCAAACGCACGTTCCTCTCCTCTGAGCGCTGCTACATCGGAGGGCCTCGCAGATCCAGAGATTTCCAATCCTGTCACCCCAGTGTGCCTCCCTGCAGTGATGGGTAGCTGGCGTAAGCATGCGTACCAGTCGGATGAGGAGGAACCCGAGAGTGTTGGCAGCGCTGACCTACATGTACTGGATGAAGTGCCACCGGTGCCTCCTGACCTTCAGTCGCGACCCGCATCTTCAGAGCCTCAAATCACGATCACCTTTTGGGCGTATCAGAACGGCCAGTGGCTCGTACGGAATGAGGTGCCTGTTAACCCGTCCAATCCATCAAACGCAGTGGGATTAGCGAAGAATTATGCCATGGACCACAGTGTGACATTCTATACTAGGGAGCTGCGCACGGTCAGTGCTACTAAATGCGTTCCAGCGGCACTAGAGGATAGAACCAACACGATCTTCATGAGCTTCGGAGGCCGGCCCTTAACAGAGCCCCCCATCTCAGGAGTGAAAAGGTCGTTCGAGGAAGCTGGAATCGAGAGTTCTTAGGTCATGATAGGTCTTCAGAGGGTAGTCATTCCACCAAAATGGCCCTCGGATCATTACGGTCCCCAGATGGCGACCTTGCAACCCGACAGGTCCTAGGACCAGGGTTTTCAGACCTACCTGGTCCGAGGCACCCTGATTTCGGCCCTGGGTCTCATGGATCAGGTGCAGGGCCCGTGTCCGTAGGCCATCGATCCAATGCGCAGGGTTGTACACACAAGGTCCTAACACCTATGCGGGCAGAATACCCGAGCCTGGTGGCTGTCAAGGAACTAAGTCACCAGCCCACCGCCCAAGCCTGACTTGCGACCAGTGAAGTCTTCTGCCTAGGATCTTTTCAACATACAGGTCTCAAGCCTAGAGAAATTCATTTGAGGTAGCCATGTATTCAGATATACAAAGCGTCAGACCTTGCTGATCCCGTTCTTCTCGAAATTTCCCTGAGGTGACTTTTTTTGAATCCGCTACAGCATAAGCTACATACGGGCCATCTGCCTAGCCATGCATGATCCTATTTCTCTAGGCATCATTTGGCCCTCATACACACTCAGTGATAAGGAACTAGCTACATACTCTAGCCGCATTTTCCACATTATCTTGGCACACAACGTGACTGTCTACTCTCAGACCGAATTGCATATATATGGCAACTTACATTTGTGTACCGTAGATATAGAGCAGCTATTATAACGACACGAAAGTAAAGTACCTTGCACCCCCAGCTGGCATAACTCATGGTCTGTCTTACCACTTGCTAGGTTGTTCTTGCCACTTCCACACCATTGAGGCCCATAGGCAATTGTCACGTGATGCCTCCTTCTGATCTGCGTCCAGTGCTTCCGTGATTTTCAGACCCATGTGGCTGAGATCTGTGCCAGCGGGAAGGTGCCCTGTGAAAATTAGATATGCCGCAGGGCGATCATAGCTTTTGAGAGCGGCTACCAATTTAGGACGTTTCTCAACCATGTGCTTAATTAAGGCGTCAATATCCTCTTCGGAATATTTCTTATCCATCCTGAGATAATTAGCAGTGGTGTTGTACATTTGCGGGGAACAACAGCGAACATGATATTTGACAGGGACCTTCCGTCAATCGACAGATATCCTTTGACTCTTCCAGAAACCGACTGCCTCGCCTTCTGTACCATGGCCCAAAAAGTTAGATAAAAAATATCTTCTGAAGTGAAGTTCTGGCTTTCTGGCATCCTGGGACCACCAAAGTTTTGAGCAGGCATATTGAATGAGTGTATTGCTCTGGTGACAAAGAGAGGGATGGGATGAGCGGGTTCTCTTGATTTGCTGGCGTAGAAGACAATATAATCTCTGCCCCTACTTTTAATCCTCGTACGCCGCTTTGCATGTCCTAGTATTAGGTAGCCGCCAGCATTCCACACTATCTTCCAACCGTCTCGCGGCGGATCAGATCATTCCAGTTGACATCATCGACTAGTTACACCACAGTGATCAAAGCCTCCGTAGCGTGTGGGACGCCTGTTGAAACGAGAGGCGACTGGCTGAAAACAAACAAGTTAACAAAATCAACGGCCAGACAAGTCTTGCGCGTTCAACCGCTTTGAATGTAGCGCCCCACTATTCGCCTCCAGGACCCACATCAAGAGTCTTTGTCGGCGGAGGAACAATTGGAACAAAGCAAAAAGTAGTTCAACAAAGCTCAACAGGTCAATTCTCCCCACTGCGAAGGATTTTTAATTTTATCACATTTCTGTGTAGAGGTAGCTCCAAAGAGCTCTGGTATTTTCTTACATCACATATTGTTTGGAGATAATATTCAACACTAAGGGGCACGTCAAATATCTTGCTTTTTCACTTCGCCGTCTAAGTATCGAGTACCTGTGGGCTAAGCCCTTTATAAAGCGAAGACTACTGCTTTTGGAGATACGACCTACCCCCAAACCAACACCTCTGTCAATACATATGACATATAACGCTAGCCAGTCATTTTAAAATTGAAGATACACAATGTCCGATGGATTCGCCCTTCCACCAGTTCCTGTCAAGCATTCAAATTTCATACAATACGTCAAAACCTCCCCCGGCACGTCAATCTCCGATCTGCTGAGACCTTACAATGAATATGATTCGATCGCTCGGAGGATCTTCGCCCAGGACCGTGACCTGATTTCTGAATTCGATGGACTGTTTAATCTCGTACCTCTTTTCACCGCCGAAGGGTATGCTGACTTGGAAATTCGTGCCCGTGACCCCGCAACCGAGCCATCAGGAGTCAGATCCAAATATCTCCTGCCGTTGAGTGGCCAAGACAGAAGACCTTCTGGCACTCGTGCGGTCGTATCTACCATCCATGAGTTCAAGGCCAATTTTGACGTCTTTTGCGAGGGGTCCCTGCGTGGATTAGACTGGAACAATGTCATTGTCGCCGGGAGTGCGGTTACCAGCACGGTCCTCCCGGTGCCGGCCAAGTATGCCCAGTCGAGGGAAGGCCTGCGTCGGTTCTTTCATGAAGACCATGTTCCGACGTCTGACGTAGATATCTTCCTCTATGGGTTGTCCGAACAGCAGGCTATCGAGAAGATAAGAGAAATTGAGAAATGTATCCGGGATTCAACTGCGAGCGAGATCTTGACCGTCCGCACCAAAAACGCCGTGACGATTGTCTCCCAATACCCAACACGCCACGTCCAAATTATTTTGCGCCTCTACAGCTCGATTTCAGAAGTACTGACTGGCTTCGACGTGGACTGTGCATGTGCGGCATACAATGGTCACCAGGTTTATCTGGCTCCCCGAGCGATTGGAGCTTACATCACGCAGTGCAACCGTGTGGATCTGACCCGACGGTCGCCCTCCTATGAAAACCGCCTGTTCAAATATTCGCGGCGAGGATTTGAAGTTTTCTGGCCTGATTTGGATCGCGCACGGGTGAACCCGGTGAGAAACATTCATGTAGACGTGTCGTTCCTTACTGATGTCAGCCCCAGGCCATCTTCGACGCCTTCTTCCCACGCGTCACCGGGCTGGCGCGCCTCCTGGTGCTCGAAAGGTTCCCAAAGGGCCGGGACCATAATGAGTATGTGAGGACGAGGGAACTGGAACAGAGACTGCCATGTGACGTTTGGAGCAGACCCCCAAGGGATTGGATGGTGAAGGCGGAGGATCCAGAAGTGGTCGATGACTCGAACTACCAGACCATCGTCTGTGTACCTCTCTTCATGAATCAAGCTTGTTACTCATCTGAATCCAGTCCATCCCATACGGTAAAAATTATAACGCCCAAAAAATCCGAAAGTTCCTTCATGATCGAGACTTGTTCCTCAATACCCAAGGCGAATGGAATCCCGATCGTGTAGTGGATCTGCATCGTCACCCTGCTTTCTTCGGTGATTTAGAGGATATTTTCCACGACTGTTGCCGGGGGTGTCCAGAGCCTGCTACGTCACAGGAAAAAGAGCTTGCCATAGCCGAAAGCAAGCACTATGTGTCCGGGAATATCAGCTTCCTGCAAGATAACCCCGGCCGGCAGGAGATTGGAAGCTTCCATCCCATAGTGGCGGAGGATTGGACAGGTCTGTTTTGCCTCATGATTCAGCAGAGTTTTGAGCTCACTGCTTTCAGGGATGGCATATGTTGGGAAAATACAGTCTTTGTGCGAGGCTATTGTTGCTCGGAATCCCAAGGCAGTGCAAATCTGGCTTGCGCAAGAATCTGGCATCAATGATCGCGATCACTTTGGGCGCACTCCACTGCACTTGGCGGTCATGGCGTCAACACCAGAGATAGTCAAACTTCTGGTGGAACACGGGTCTCTCTTGACAGCAACTCTCACTGGCGGTCGCAATGCGCTGCATCTTGCAGCATCAAGGGGTGATTCGACCATCATACGCATATTGCTAAGCAAAAGTCGACAGAATATGGAGCTCAGTAGTAGCCTCAAGGGTGAAGCGCGCAGCTACCCAGTTACCACGCACCGGAAGCTCCAGGCTCCAGGCACTAACCTCTCACCCAACACTGATACAGCTCCTGACGTTTACGACATCGATGCTCTTACACCCGATAAATTTTCTCCTCTGCACCTGGCCGTCTTGCTATGCCACGAGGATGCCGTGGAGGAGCTGGTCGCCGGGTTTGGAGCAAATATTGGTCTCCCAGTCCGGGCTTTCGTGGGGTGGAGTTACGCCCCTATCTGGCCTCTCGTGCTGGCCCTCACTTTACCCACAGGGAAGGCAAAGAGTATGACAATAAAACTCCTCAGCCTGGGGGCAACATTGAGGCAGACTGACAAGGCCGGTCGCACCCCGCTATACTATCTCGCCAATTCAATACATCACGATATTCTGGGGGTATACTTGAGGCACGACCGCGAATGGACGAAGCGAAGCATCAACTTTCAATTCGCATGCTATCATAATTACTACGTTGGGGTCCCGGCACTCAACAGCGCGATCATAAATAAAAATCCAATCATGGCTGACCAGCTTCTTGAAGCAGGGGCTCATCCGACGGTCACGTTCAAAACCGCCTTGAGAGCTCACCGACACGATGCAGTTTCCCGTTGGGTAAATCAAACGCCCGAAGGCTTCTACATGAAATTTGTGCAGCCAATAGTGTGCGCCGTGGAACATGACTTACCATCCGTCGCTATCGAACTGCTTTTCCGTGGTGCCGACCCGAATGCACTCACCCCGGCCGGCTATTCTGCGATCAAGCATGCGAAAAATAATCATTTGGCTGGCTCATCCATACTCGACTTGGTTCGCCGAAAAATTGTTAATTTTCGGTCATGTGAGGACGAAAGAGCAGCAGAAGCGGGTATTGGACACCTCTTGCGTGATTATGAACGTCTAGAGGAAGAGCTACTCTACCTGGAGGCCAAACCTTTTCAGCAGCTGTACCCCAATATCCAAACTCCGCCAACTCACGCATCCATTGCTCATGATGATCCGCCTATTTTTCAAGATACGTCGGAGTACCGAAACAATGCGCTGAGCCAGAAGAGAAAATATAATGCCCTAGATAGCCCCAGTGATTCGCAGATGAAGTACAACGCCAAGTTATTGTAAGACCCCATCTTCATCCAATGACATGTGTACTGATCATTCCAGGTTGTACGCCGCAAGGGTCGGTCACCGAGAAACAATTAAAAAGATCGCCCTTGCAGAAAGAGGGAGTGGACCTTGTCTGCTGACTAGCGTCAGCGATCAAAGCGGAAATTCGGCATTCGCGCTAGCAGTATTACGTGGCCATCTTGATGTTGCCAGGTTCATTTTCGCATTGTTGATCGAAAAGTATAACGAGGACAGCCGTAATGACACGACTCAGCAGCGGAATCATGGACACAGCCCGTGGATGAACGAGACCAGCATTGGTTCAAGCAACACCGGAGGCCGTGATGGTGACTCGGTCTCCCTTGACAGACCCCAGGTTATCAAGCGGGGCATGGGGAGTAAAAGCGACCCACGCCTCCAGCTGGAAGGCCATTGCTGTCCCGAGGCAGCACTGGTAAATTCGACCGCACTTAATAGCCGGCGATGCACTCTCTTCGATCATGCAGTTTTCAACAACGATGTCCCCCTTCTGTCATTTTTGATACAATTAGGGCGGGATATGATGGCTAAGCAAAGTGGATCTGACCTCACCTACCATGTCCCGGACGGCGTTCTCCTTCAGGTCATACGGCTTGGTCGGCAGCACTGCCTGGAGGAGATCGTCAAGTGTGCTGGTGCTGGCCTCGTAGAGCACTTGCAAGCCCCTACTGTGGATAAAGAAGCTAGATCTGAAAAGAGACGTTATGAGGGTCTTTTCGGAAGCAGAAAACAGCATACAGAATCTGCCATGACTCTCCCAGCCAGCCTGTCACCTCCACTCTTGCTGGCTGCAAGGCAGGGCAAGCTGGAAACCGTCCAGTGGTTTCTAGGCTCTGCTCCTAGGCGCCTCTACACTGAATTCGTCATGTCAAACGGCCATGTTAAAAGTCTCCAAGGGCTGATCAATAGCCATGAGGGACCGGGAAATGTACTTGGGAATTGGCTGAGCTCAAAAAGTAAGTTTCTCGCCCGGGATTTTCTTCTTTGTTTTACTTACCCACTTGCCTCCTACACTCACTCCACCTCAAACCCTATCTCAGTCATTCTCATTGTCCCCATTTCGTCCATTGGTGGGTTTTCAGTATCCTAATTCACCATTGATCAGATGAATTGGTACTCCATTGCGCTGTCCTGTCACGGGCCACGGATGAATCGGAGAGGCTTATTCAATATCTCATACGAGAAATGCCGCATTGTCTAGAGACCAGGTCCTCTGACGGCTACACTGCCCTGGCAGTCGCCTTCCGGTGCCATCAGCTAGAATTCGCTCGACTGCTTATCGAGGCAGGCGCCGACCAACGAGTTCGTGACAGGAAAGGCAGAAATCTAGTTCACCTGCTGTTCGCTAGGCTGAATTGCCCCTCCCATGACGAATTAAGGAGGATCCAGAGCCTACTTGATCTCATTAACCCACTATTAGTCTCGTCATTACTGACACAACGCTCCTCATCGCAGCTAGGTTTGCTGACCCCGTTAGCATATCTGATGTCAAAAGGACTTCAGATAGGTGGACAGACAGAGAGCAACCTCTCTGCTCTCAAGATAGGACTTTGTTTAGCCGAAAACACAAACCAACAGCACCTCGAAGTTTTTGATGGTGTTGGGGATACGCCTCTCCACCGCGCTGTGAAAGGTCGGTGGGACAAAGTGTTGGCGATGTTTATCTCCTATCGCTACGATCTTCTGGTTTGGGAAAACGCAATCGGGGCCACGCCTATCGATGTTGCGAGGGATCTATGTGCTCCTGCCATACTGTCGGCAGTTGATAATATGCGTTCTGGGATTGGCCAGAATGCGCAAAGAATCTTTGAGATGTGCCAAAAAGGTTATGCACAGTCGAAGGAATTCGAGAGAAAGCTGTTTACACCAGCTGCTCTCGATATGGTAGTGACCTCATTTGTCAGGAAGCAAAAGAGTTTGATGTGTGAAACCGATGAGGTCGGAAGGTGGATTCAAGATCGAACGAAGGTGACTATATTTTGAGCTCTATCGGCGGAAGGAGGCTTAGGTTTTGTTTGATCTACGTATTGTGGATGGAATTAGGGGACCGGGATGCGAACTAGTGATACGGGTTTTTATACATCTTATCGGTCCAATTTGTGCGCCATACTGTAGATATACCTTCTGCCAGTCAGAATGACTACATTACCAGGGTTACTGTAATTCAACCGTCGTTGTTATCGGGATATCGGAAGTTATCGGTATCACAACTAGGATGATCCCTGTATCGGTAGGACAAGGAAGAAAACAATCATATTCAGGAGGATTCGGATGGGAATATTTATACAGAGGGAGCAGATAGTTTAGAATTCACACCCTCATTCATTCGTTTTATAACCATTAGGTGTGTATGAGAAATACTAATACAGTATCTTGGTTACATATACGGTCCGTTGGAGTCGAACCCTTTCACTGTTCATGATCTGTTCGCACTCCACATTATTATAGCATAAAATTTCCCAGGGTCGGTTTTTCCACATCGTTTGTTCGGCAGTCCTCAACCTGAAGCCCTCCGTGATACGAGCTATTGGGTCCTCGTCAGACATCCCCTCAGAACACACTTTGCACAGAGTGTACAGACGTTCCGGAAAACGCCTTCACCACCTACTCTCTTTTCTTCTTTCCCAAACCCTTCCGCCAAAACACATCATACCGTATATGGCTAAGTCCGGAGCTTAGTGGCCAATGAACATAATGGAATTCTGTTGGTCCACAGTCGAAACCCCCCAGGCAGAAATCTCTTCCCTTCACTGACGATAACTCGGAAATTGCTGCGAACGCCCTAGGAGCACGAGTAGCATTTCGTTCTCGTGCATATCTTCGCCTTTGGTGAGGCAGCTATAGTATGATCCGTGCGGTGGATGATACTTGAACAATCAAGGCGGAGGGTTGATCCCTACGGCCGTTCAGAATCATCTTGTCAACTCGGCGACTAATTGAAGCATGCGCTCAAGAGCTTAGAGTTCAGCGAGTGGTCAGCATCGTTGGATTTCTTTAGCGTTAGGTAAGGAAGCGTTGAACAATGATGGCAACGTTGGAAAGTGGCCCTCTTGCTGCACAATCCGTCGAAATTGAAACTTAGTGGATAAAGCCTGGTGGGGAACGGAATGTTGATTCTGGCCAATCCCCTTTCGTCGCCACCCTCCATCAAGCTTCGAGTCCTTCCCTCGCCTGCCCGCTCGCCCACTTTGGTTGAACTACTATTGAACCAAAATTTTGAATATTTTTTTCAAGGGCTTACTGTAATACGAGCGTTGAACTTTGAAATTAATCTTGCTTCTGCGAAATACATTTTTTTTTCCGGCAATACCACTATGTACACAATCCTACGTCTCACTATTCCAGGATTCATTCAGTCCTAGGACTTCTTTGACTAGGAAATCTGGTGTCCTAGGAAAGCAGGGCTCCTAGGTTTCTGTTGTTTTTAGAACAACAATTCCTGAAATACGAAATTTCCCAGGATTATCTGAACCAGGAATTGCATTCCCCCAGAAACGCCCTATCTGGGATTGATCAAGTCCTGAGAATTATAGTTTCCTAGGATACTCTGATCCAGGAATTCTATGATCCCAAGATTGATTTTCCCAGGATTGGTCAGCCCCGGGAAGCATTTAGCGCCGCGTTATAATACGCGACAGCTCGATCCTTCAATTCAACCGAGGAAGCTCCAGGGCCAATTTCCATAGAATCCTCCAGAAGAAAAAAAATAGTTTCCCCGTTGATCGCCAAGGTTTCAAATGTGTCCGCAGTTATATTCCCAAGTTTAGTTCTCTCTGTATTAAGGCAGTAGAGAACGCCACGCCGCGTAAGCTCTTTCCCTTTCTGGAACGATTCTCCCTGCTTGACAGTATGAGACTCTGATTCCCATTCACCCTCTCGCTGTATCTTAAACACACGGATATGCTTCGTTCTCCCTCGTCGGAGAACATCAGCACTCTCTTCCGGTTCCTCTACTTCTTGGAGTTTCCGCTTGTGATGTCTGCCTGTAGCTTGTTTCTCTATGGCTGTCTCTGCCGCTTTGTCGGCGGCTTGAGCTCTGAAATATGCTTTATCGAATAGTTGTGCTCTAACTTCGAAATCACTCTCCGTTCCCTCACAAGCTGACAGGCGGGATGTTGCTTGTTCGTAAGCTTCGGATGCTAATTTGTAAGCGACTTCGGCTAAGCTCCATTCCTTCAGCGACGGATCTGGATTTGTGAGCTTGAATTTCCTCTCAGCGACGTCCCATTCGTTTTCCGCTCTGCGTTGATTTCTGCTCGCTGCTTCCATCCACCAAGCGATTTTAGCCTCCATATTTATCCCATTAGCCTTAGCCACATTGCTGCGTAAACCTTGTATGTCTTGCTCCTGAATAGTGTTGATGGCGTGCCGTGGTAATTCTTGAAGCCAGGTTGTATGGCCAAAACGGGCACGAATTTCCTCAGCGGCTGACCGTGCGGCCTCGGCAATTTTTTCTGTTCGGTGAATGGATTCAGTCATTTGGTGGCACTTTTCGACACAATTGCCATATTTTTCCTTCTCTTCTGCCCTAGCTGCGTTCCTGGCAGTGTCTCTCTCGGTGACTAGAGTGCCACACGCAGCGAAGGAGTTTTTCTTCACATCCTTCACTATCTGGCCAAGAAGCGCAATAGAGGCCAACATCACCTGCGAGCAATCTTGTATCGCCTCCTCAGCTGAGGCTCCACCAGGAGACAACCGTAACGCATGCAGAGCTTGGCCCGTGCCATCTGCCTCGTTTGCACAGCTTTTAATGGCGGGAATGGTCCCCTCCACCGTATGGAAGTCGGACACGCGCCATGCGTTGGCATACTTTATTTCTTCCTTGTTTATCTCACTTACCAAGCTTTTCGCACTGCTTATAAATCCTTGCCATGCAATTTTGTCAGTCTGCATAGGTACATCTTGCAATACTTCGGGGGACGAGTTAGTAGGATTCGCCGTAAAAGCCTCGGCCCTCACGCCATCGGCGAAAGGGCTAATCTCACTACCACCTGTGGGTTCGGATACGCTGTCGAGAGTGCGGTGCAAGTCTTTGACTATCATTTCTGCCCCATCCTTTTTTTTGACAGCACTAGCGATAATGTGATTGATTTGAGAGCAGACCTGTTGGCCTTGCTCAGTTGCCCAACCGTCGAGTTTGCACGTCTCCACCTTCGACTGCTGTTTATTCGCGCAGTTCATTGACTGCTCTAAGGAAGCAAGGTAGCCAACAATTTCCTTCATTGCCAGCTCTGCACCTTTGATAGCATCACCACATTGCTGCCTCTGCCCATGTTTGGCAAATTCCTGAGCATCTTTCTGTATTTGCTGGATCCAAGTCGCCTTCTCTTTGATGGTCGTCTTCAAACTACTTGCAATGGACGTATATAATCCAAACGCGATGCTGGTGGTCTGCGCAACACCCTTTTTTGTCGTATCGACTGTCACGAGGAACTCATGCGGCACAAAGAGAGCGTTATTTGGAATATGCATCGCAAAGTTATCGGCACTTCGGTAAATCGACTCAGTCGCATTTTCTACACTCACAACAATACCTACAGCACATTTCGCGAGTGTCATGTTGTTCATTGTGTTAACCTTTGTCGCCATTTGCTGCACCGCTGCAGATTTCAGCTTCATGTTCGTCAAGAACGGCTCCACGCTCTCAACTAATTTTTGGGACAGGGTGTTTTGTAAGTCGGAAACTGTTCCACTGATGCTGATCTGGGCTTCACCCACCCCTCGAACTTGTACTTTGATAGAACTGCAGGCATCATCCGAGATATTCCCCTTCTGGGCTACTGCCTGCACCGACTCCGCAAGACTGACACAATCCTTTGAATCGGCTTCCGCGCTTTTTGCCATTTTAATTGCCTCCTGTAGGTCGTGAATGTTGTTATGTTGCGATCCATTCATCACCTGCTTCGAGGCCTCCTGTGCCTTCAAATTGAGACCGCTTGCTAGCATTAGCAGCCTCTCTATCAAGCCATGGAAGTGGCCTTCCAAGGTCGTATTGAACTCTTGTAACTCTAGGGAACATTTTTTCACGTGGGCGTCCAGCCGTGCCCCCTCTTTACATGCGGCAGTCAAGGCATCCAAGTCCGCTGGCTGTTCCAGTCGCGACGAAAAGGTCTTGACCTGTCCTTCATCGTCAATGCAAGCAGCTTGTCTCTGCTGAATCCAATTATGCGCAGAGTCCCAGCTTCCTATCTTCTCAGGGACATGGAAAATACTCTCCCTGGCCTCATGGTCGAGGAAGCTGCTAAAGGATTGCTCCGAATTGAGCATATTAAGCATAGAAGTGTGGAGGCTTCGGAGATTAGCAAGCTTCGAAGCTATGTCCTCACAGGATCGAGTGGTGAAATTTGTAGCGCCCACCAACTCTCTTCCATGCGACAACGCTACAGGGCCATACTTATCCATGATACCGCGATTTGTGTCATCGACAGTCAGTTTCCATCTAACAAAGGTCTTTTGAGACTCGTGGCGAAAATCTTTGAGCCTCGTAGAACAATGCAGCACCATGTCGCGTCCCATTAGGTGGGAGGGCACTTCAGTTTTTAGATCTTGTACTTCTTTCAATGTTTGCTGCAGACTAGCAAGTAATCCAGCAAGGCAGCCTGAAGCTTGATCGAGAGCACTGAGCCTCAAGCAATGCCCCTCATCGGAGTCACCAAATTTCTCATAAAGGTAATTCTCCCACGTGCAAAGTTGACCTACCTTTTCAGAATATAAGAGAGAGGCGTTCAATAGACCACCGATGCACATGACGTGCAGAAGGATCTGCAAGTTACCAAGTTCACACCATAACCCTCGAAAGGCCTGCTCTAGAAGGCTCCAACGTCGTAATCCGGCTTGCCTTTCATGACAGGCTTCATTGTACACCTTTTCGGCTTCCTGAAGAGCGTTCGAGGTATTGTCTATTTCAGTGGACCCCTGCTCGCAGAGACCTATGCGATTCACTTGTTCTTGAACTTTCCTGTCTGTGTTGATGACATGTGACCTGAGATCCTTCAGCTTGTTCTTCGTCTCATCGATCTTACTTTCAAAAGCCGCCGAGCTTTTCCTTATCTTTTCTATATTATCTATCACGTCTTGCTCCATATCCATTGCATCGGAGGCGTCTGGCCAAGCAAAATATTTACAGGCCTCTCGTATCTCACCGAGACTCGCGTCCCCACCATCGGTGCACCGTAGATCGTGCTGAAGATCGTTATGAAGGGCTTGGAGGGTTTTCTGTATTTCTTCCAGCTCCGTACTCCGCTCCGTTCTATGATCTCGATCTCCCAGGTTCACTGGTGGCGCAGGATTAGGAGCCGATGTTGCCGGCTCGTCGCGAGGTATGGAAGTAGCCGATGGGTTTCCACCGCTGGTTTGTGTTGGTGTGGCGGCAGGCATCTCGGTTGCAGCTGCAGGGGTAGATCTTGCCGTGGTAGAGCTATCCCTATGTGCGTCCGGAGACATAGGTCTGGATTCGGACAGGGGCTCTGTGTGGGCCGCAGGGGTTTCATGGCCCGGATTCTCGGTTGCAGCTGCGGGAGTAGAACTTGCCGTGGTAGAGCTATCCCTATGTGCGTCCGGAGACATAGGTCTAGATTCGGACGGGGGTTCTGTGTGGGCCGCAGGGGTTTCATGGCCCGGATTGGAAGTATCTGCACTTGCGGGGCCGTTATGACTATGAACAGGCTCACCGAAAGCATCACCAGGTGCAGCATTTGGATCGCTCGCTTGCTGTTCATCTACCTGAATATCCTGCAAGAGGCCAAAGAAGGAATGATAAATGTCACAGAGTATAAAAGAAGATGGAAGCTTCCCACATTCTCCCAGATCCGCACCCACACGGTCAAGGAAAAGGACTTCCCTGTCCGTCTTGAATGTAACAACATATGGGATTCCACAACGTTTCAGGGCGGGCTCCTTTTCTACCTCAAATGCATCCCAAAGCGGGGATTCCGGCTGGGTATCACTGGCGATGGACAGTGCTATTCGGTCCGAACGAAAGCCCACTTGATGGGCGAGCTGAGATAGGCGATACTGGGCATGGGGGTGATCCCATGCGCGAAGCACTGCTGGGCGCTTACTATGTCCTGGGCTGCCACCGCTGACACGCAGCGCGCATAGCCACACCTGTCGATATGCAATATCAAATGCCCTGTCGTCGGACCTAATAGACCGACTTCCATCTTCCGATGTTTGAATGATGGTATTTCCATCCTCTGCCCCGTGAAACATAAAGTCCATCCTGTCTCTAATGCTTGGCTTGCGTCGATATATGTTTCGTCTGTTAACTCTTGCTAGATCATAAATCCGGTCAACACACGGGTCGATCAACCGCTTCATCCGATTAGCGGCAATGGTCAAAAAATTGGTATCCTCGAAAAAGAGTTTGAGCGACGGAATTCTCCCAGTGTGGCGCTGGAGTTTCTCATTTATTGCCTTTCGCTCTTCGAAATTGAAGTGTCGAAATACGTCGCCTCCCAGCACTAAACCGCTCACGTATATCTTGTCAACTTCACTCACTCCCGGTGCAAACCCTTCAAGCTTGCCCACCGTCCGCGAGTCTATTTTGCTCATTTTGGTCGGATCATTTTCCATCAGTGATGCCCAGAACTTATAGATGGTTTTTTCGAGGTAATACACTAATTCCTATGGACATCAGCAGATGAAGGTGAAATTATCGGAGGGAGCAGTACATCATTACACCGGAGGCAGATGAACTTGTTCCATACTGTCAATATAGTACCGCTCTCAAGGATCCCAGGCATGGCCATGAACGCATCAAATGCATTATACAAGTCCGGATTCTTCTGCAGCATCTCCAAGCGGCTTACCTCACAGGCGGTCAGCCTTGCTCGCCATCTTCTTTCGGATAATTCGTCATTGGCGAGCTGGGCTTGTCGCATCTTGACATATATTTCACCGGTTGAGTGCCGAGATTCATGACTGTAAGCCTCCGCAAGATATCTCTGTAGTTCGTTTGACGTGTCTGTAGTCGCTTTCAGCATCTGGCATGGCAACTGCTGCGCGGCCACAAAGACAAGACAAACCATCCACATAAAGGTCCACTATCCACCACCGACGCCGAGGGGGAAGAAAAGTTCGGGCTGCTTGAACGCGATGTCTTCCATGCAGGCAGCGCAGCGACTGGCTAGGAAAATGCAAAGCTGGATAGTTCTCTGGGTCTCTTGCTCGAAGTTCCGCCACCGGGAGACCTATCTCGTTAAGAGCTTGCGCAAGTCCTTCCCGGCTCACGATCACGTCAACGTGATTTTCGAGTCGGAGAGGGTCGATCCCATTTTTAAACACATGAATCAATTGCTCCAATCGCCGTTGGTCCAGTTGCCATTCCGGGCCAATGTCTAGCGAGGATAGGTTTACCTTTGCAGACCCCTGAAACCCAAGGTGCCGTTCTGGAGCAAATCTTGATTCAGCATACTCTGCTTGGTTAGGAGACGCCATTGTCACAGATTTTTTGTTTTTGATTAAGGTTATTTGTGACAGTATCTAGGAAGCGCTTCAGGTAGAATATATGTGAGATTTTAGTCACTCAACCCAACTTTAATTCTTTTCGCATAAACTCTCTCGTTCAACACAATGCAAATAAAAAGCGCTTGGAAAAAGGAGAAGAAGAAAGGAAGAATGGGCATATTAGACGGCGGGAAGGTATTTAGGTCCCTTCTATTTTGAGGACAGGCTTTAGTCACAAGGAAGAAATATATAAACATACTATTCGCTATGGACTCGTCTTTCACTTTGCCCATCCCACGATCAATACGAACATGTCCTGTACAAATGGAGAGACAGAATGTCATTTGACACAACAAATGTCACCATGGGATATATACAACGTGGAAATGAAGGTAAATCTTGATGTATGGGTCGCAAAGGCAACACGTAAGGATAGTGTTGGGGGTGTTGTCGCAGTCCGCACATTCCCGAAGCATGAGGCTACCATCATCGAGCAGCGACATAAAACTCTCCATCATACAAATCTGCTCGCTACGTTGGAGATATATCAGTCTAGTCTTCCTGACGCCAGGAGACACATAGACACGGAAAGTGAAGCTAAGGAACATCTGTTTGTTGTTTCGGAATACGCCCCTTTCACCCTCGAGCACGTACGAGCTTGCGCAAGGCCCCCTAGCGATGGGCAGATAGCTTCGATAATGGGCCAGGTCCGTCTGATCCATTATTCCAAGATAATATGACCAATGAGACTGACAATCACAAGCTTTTAGCTGGGGTGGAATATCTTCATACTCAGGGCCTTACGCATGGGGCACTTGGATGCACCAGCGTGCTTGTCACCTTTGAAGGCATTTTAAAAATCGGTAAGCAAGATGATTTGTATATCGTCTCATTGATGCTAACCTACCTACTAGCTGGGTTTGCCAATTCTAGAGAGAGATACGGAAATATTGTCGATTACGAAGACGAAGAATCAGCTGGACAGATCATGAGACTTCTCATACACGATGAACACACCGTTGATAAGAAGGCACAGGCGGTGGATTACCCCCGCGGGGAAAAGCTTTTGAGTTTCTTAAATGACATAAAGGGGGCATCGGCGAGCAAGCTTATCAAGGTACATTCTGACTAGTGATAATAGGGATATTTGCTAATTTGTAATACCAGCACCCCTTTCTAACAGCATCGACTGGAACTTCGACATGGGATGCAAGGAACCTGGAGGCACTGGTGATCGATGTGGCCTATTCGTGCCAGGTAGATTACTGGCGGGTGTAGTATGTATGTATCCAGGCCTGTGTCTGTGGGGTTGGCGGGCACGGTCCATGAGGACGAGTGAATAAACCAAGAATAGAGGGCGGCTCTAATACATTGTATGAGGGACAATAATATTAAATTGATGACTGTTCAGGTTCAGGGTTTTCATTTCAAGGATATGCTACTTTGGCCTAAATGGGTAACGTGTAGTTGAAGACTGGTCTTGAGCACCAATACCTGGCACCTGATTCGACGGAACGCCAAAGTATGGAGCAATACCTAAAGCTAAGGCCTCATAATGTGTACATCCTGTCACCCATGAATTAACTTGGAGCTTAGACCATGTAGGACAGTTTCAATGGTCATCTTTCTAAATATTTATATTAACTCATAATCCACCCATTCTAGTATCCTATACACCGAATGGCAGGTTGCCGACATTATCCATTCCACCTGGTCTCCTACGTAGCGACAGTAGAGGGTTCAGCACCCAACAAGCTGCGCAAAAATGAGTCACCATACGTGTGTGATACTGTACAGTTTCTTTATTCGGGTAAATTAATCCGCGAATCATACAATGGAAAGAGGTAACTGAGTCAGGGATGAATTGCTAGCTACAGAAGCCGGTTTTTCTCTGGTGGAAGGCTGGTTGGCTCTCTCGATAGTAGCACTGTGGGAATCTTTTTCGATAGGCTTACAGATTATGCTCACTGAGTCTCTGACAGGTAGCACCGTGCTTTTTTAATTTACCTCTTAAGGTCACCGCCTATAAGTGGGGTGTTCCGCTCACGTAACTTTCGCTTATGATGACATTGGTATATATATCTGTCTGCCTTCATCGCTAGTATCATTTCTTGGTTGTGATAAGGACTCCTTTAAACGTTCGTTTCCCTGCTCATTTGGCCATTGATCTTTTGCTCGTACTAAGTGACATTACTTCACCTAGCCATGGAGAATTGGGAAATCTTTGAGAACAACCTTCCTGACATTACCACATCTATATCCCCGCATCATCCGGCCACGAGCGATGACAATGGGTGGCTTGAACATGTTTCTTCAGGAGCCAGCCCCTTTTGCAAAACGGGAGATGCGAGTGATGAGTTGCAAAAAAAAGACGGCATGTCTGCGACACCCCCTGAAGAGTTTTGCGAATCATTTTACACGACGGACCCGGAAATCGATCTAATGAACGAAAGCTTTTACATCGATGGCAGCCTGGGAGAGACTTTGGAAAGTTATGGGAACAGGCTCTGCCAGTGGAAGAGGACACTTGGTATTCAAGCCATGATAAACGCCCATGCCCTTCTTCATTTAACGTGGGTTTTAGGTCTCGATGGAGGTTCAAGTTCGATTGACTCAGGTGCAACTACGATAATTGCCAGCGAACCAGGACAGATAAACGACGGGCAAGATATTTATCTGACTTCTTCTACAACGCAGACACAGCATCCACCCGTGTTATCAAGTATGCGCTCTAGGTCAGGAATCAAAAAGAAACCTCACAATTCACGCAAAAAAGGGACGAAAAATGACCACTGGACTACAAAAGCCGCCACATACATTCTTGAAGGTGAAGGTCACGCGCAGATGGTCAATGGTACTTCCCATGGCTAAACCTTGCACTTCAGCTAAAGGGCCATCAAATTACACACCCCGAGAAAAGGGAGATTACGGAATATTAGAATATATGGAAAAAAACCTTTGTTGTCATAAATATATCCTAATGAAATGAATAAGAGCAGCAGATGATGTTTTGTAAGTCAACCTTTGGGGTGACAGAACGGCGGCAATGTCAGTGAGAACTTCTGCACCCTCCCGAGTATTACGACAGAAGACAAATAATATGCATATCACTCACACCTCCACCAAAACTTTTCTTCTCTTGAATAGTATTCTATACATTGTACCGTACAGGGGTCTGACCACCCTATAGAATATATAGGCATACTCATGACCATTTACGAAAGTACTATACCATGAAAAGCTAACTTGAAAGATTAAAGAAACTTGCAACGGTGATATATTAAATATTTAGACAAGATGATGTGGTGATCAAACCTTGGACGGCATTAGCTGTTGTTCACAGCTCTACGAATACCGAGAATCACTGATATCTGATACATGAGATAGTGTAGATAATGATAACCAACTAAAGTGATATTCTTGTATTTGCAGATAAGACAGTTGAACGGGCATGAGACTTGCCTTGTAGGCGGCCTTTGCTGTCGTCAAGTGCCACTTCTAATGTTGTTGAAAACTGCCAATGCAACGGGGGAAGCACGGGAATAATTAACCAAAAAAGACGGATGCTTATCGTTTGCTGCTTATGATCTAAGTGTCTGTTTCTTCTTATCAACCAAGTTCAGCGACGCCACATTGATTGAGGGCCGATCAAACCAGGGACATATGTGAGGGGTATGAGTGACCACTCTCATGGAAACCTAGTCCCATTGCATGCTGCGTTGGGACCATATTGCGACCCATGATAAATAACAATGTAAGACTCGACATAGATG